GTCCAAGTTCTTTGCATCAGCTGTTGTGGGAGCTGGGTTGGGCCCTGGCTCTGAATAGTTTGAGGGTCACTTATCACTAGAAAGAATGAAACCCCTTAAAATAGGAAAATGATACTGGTAGGACTGTCTGAATCCTTGCACAGGTACTAGGGAATGGAAAACACTTAACAGCAACAGATAAATAGATGCCTATATTTAAATTACCTTTGTCATTTTTTTAAAATAAGGCCTGTGCAAGTGACTCAGATTGCATTCATTCTTGATGCTGGTTTCAACCAAATAAAGCAAAATCAAATTCACAGTAAGTTTGAGGGAAATTTTAAAAGTTAGAAGTAAAATCCTTAGGTTGTTGATTTGGTATCCTTCAATCTAAATAGTGTAACCAGGGAGTACCGCTGAATCAGAGAAAAATAGGGCTGGAAGGGACCTTGGGAGGTCATCTATTCCAACCCCATGCCCAAGACAGGATCATCCCTATCTAATCGTTCTAGACAAATCTTTGTCTAACCTGCACAAATGTTTATCTAACCTGTGTATTTTCTAATCCAGAGATTAAAAAAATTGTGAACAGAGGCGCCCTTCACCAACAGAGCTAGCATTTCAATTACAAGTTATAAACCTGACCTAGATAGGGCTTTATCAGTTTATGAAAAGGATTATATGATATGGTTGCCTACAACAGCAGGAGATTGGGTTCAGTGGTCCAGGAGTACCCCTCTACTCCTATGTTTTGTTTCTAAGCCTTGAAGTCTACAACTGCATTTACTCCAGCAGAACTACACCTTCTTATAGAAAGACTGAATTAGGCTTAAGTGTTTATCTCAAGTGTACCTCTCAAAAAGAAACAAAAATGTCTAGATAGGAAATATGGCTATACTGTAGTACTGCCATTTGCCATGGGATTTCTTCCACCTGTTTGAACACAGCACTTCAAGGCCATGATCAGTGGAGTGGGGAAGAAGCTCAGACATGGCTCCTCTTAGCAATGTTTTCCTCCTTTATGGCAGCCTGACTTTAGCTGGAAATGCATTCATGCTGACCTTTCTCTTACCACAAGAGAAGTTATTTTAATAGGGGCTTTATATGCTGAATGCATATTACCATACATTCTAATATCCATGTATTTTAATGTATTTCCATGTTATATAAGCTTAACACAGTATGCCTTGATGATTTTTTTCTGATTATCTTGCAACCTTTTCAACTGATTATCCCTTATACAACCTACCCTGTGGCAACCAAGTTTTATTCTTCCCGGTTATAAATGGGTAAACCATGGGATTTGTAACTCATCCAAGGTCCCAACCACCAGTGGCAGAGCCAGGAACAAAGTCCAGCTGTCCTGCCTGCTGCATACTGCTCTCCAAAACACCCAGACTATCATAGACTGTTACAAACTGTCAGATGTTTAGTCCACTCATTTTTTCTGTTATTTTGTAGACATCTCATCAGCTGTGACACTGGTTTGGTCTACACAGCACACTTAGTATTTTTCTCCGATGATGTTCATACTCACACCTTCTCTGTGTTTTGTCTGTCCACAATGTATGCTTATACATGCAGGCAAGAGGGGCTACTTCGAGCAACCCTCAACTTAAAATGTTGATAGCCAACCAAGGGCAGGCACAATACGACCCATGGGCTGAATCTGGCCAGCAAAGGGATTTTGTCCAGCCTGCAGCAGGTCCCTTAGCAGGTTCCAGCCTAGGTATGGGGGGCAGCCCAAGCTGTGGCACGTGTGGCCAGTCTCACCACCCCTGGGTGCACAGTGGTGCTGGGGTGGCATGGTGGCCAGACTCATTTCCTGGTAGCCCACACAAAGGCAGTGGCTCCTTCCAGCTGCCACCACTGCCAGACCTGGCTCCACTGCCAGGCACTCCCTCCTGTCTGCTCCACACCCACCAGCAGAAGCAGGATGTATGCAGGTATGGCACATAGCTAAGTGGATGGGATGGCGCCATGGGCAGCTGGGAGCAGCATCCAGGAACAGGACAGGTGACGAGAGGGGCTCATAGGGTGGGATCACGGGGTGGTGACAGTGCAAGGCCTGTGGCACAGCCATTTTGAGAGTTTTGGTGAGCTACTGGCAGAGGGCAGGGGCTGACCTGCAGCTGTTCATAAAAATCCTGAAATGGCACTCAGGCCCAAATAACTGCCCATCCCTGGTTTAAGTGGTGGGGACTACCAGGGTTCGAATTACACCTTGACTCTTGGGGTGGGGTGGGGATCTACAAAAAAAATTGGGCTGCCCATCACAGTCTTTGTAAAAGGCTAATAAAAACGGAGACCCCCCAGGTTATGATTTCAAATCTTATGGGGGGATCTAGTTTCTTATGGGGGGGTTCAGCCTGCCTGAGCTCTCTTGTAATTCGAACCCTGGGGGTCACACCAATGGGGAGCCACAGGTCCCCAGGCTGCGTGCTGTGTGGATGCCCCTCCACCTCGCCCTACCCTGCTGTGCCCACTTGGCCCTGGCCTTAACTGCATCACGCAGCCCTGCCACCTGGTAGAGAGCGGGGAGGGGGGGGCGCTATAGACTTGTGGTGGGGAACAGTGGCCAGTCAGGAATCCTGGGGGGGGCTACAATTTAACCCCTTGAAGACATGCAGTCTGCAGATTGGCGGTTTGTTTATGTATTTGTGAGTGTGCACGTACATACGCATGTAAGTTTATGTATACGCACGTATGTGTAAGTTTACATACCTGCCGCCCTTCCCAGCAGAACCTGGGGGCCAGGACAATTGTGCCATTTCCACTTAGGCATCGTTTTCTGATGTCTGGGCTTGCCCTGCTCCCCCTGCCACGCTTGGGTGAGCACCTGCCTGCACCAGTCCTGCCCTTTGCAATCTGCCCTGCAGCAGAGACCACCCCTTGCCCTCATCTAGGGAAGGATTGGGGGAAGAGCTACCCGCATGTGGGGCTGGGCTGCACAGCAGCCTCCTGTGAGAGGTGGGGAAGTGCCATCCACAGCACTGGGGGGGTGGGGGGGGACAGG